AATAACGGCGACTGCTCGCAGCTCTGTCTCCCCACTTCTGAGACCTCCCGGTCCTGCATGTGCACCGCAGGCTACAGCCTGAAGAGCGGGCAGCAGTCCTGCGAAGGTGAGCGTGCCTGGCCCCATCCCCTCGCCCGAACTACCCCATTGGAGCAGAGACCCTGCAGCCTTCCCCTGGCCATGCCTCCTGCATACTGCAGCTCCGTCCGAGCCGCGTGGTGCTGCGAGGCCCAGCAAGACATTTGTGCTGGCGTGTGGTGTGGGGGGCTGGTAGCTGCTCGCTCCGGCTGTGTGCAGGCTCCTCCTGACTGCCCCGCGCCTCCCTGCACCCCGCAGCACTGCAGAGCGATGCTGGGGACCAGCAGGATGCTGGGGGTGCTGTGGGCTCTGACCACAGCAAGACCCTCGCATGGGCTGTCCCTGCGAGGAGCTGGCAGCGATGAGCACAGGGGCGCTACCCGGGCACCGAGGGCTCTGGGTGTAGCAGGGGGAGGGGAGCAGGACTGCACGGTGGGAGCCCTCAGAGGAGAGGTGAAACCCTCGCTGTCGGCACCGGTTTTGGGTCACTGACTCACCGCAGTCACTGAAAACAGCATTTGCTCTGCAGATCCTCAGTCCCTGCCCGGTTTGCCATCATCTTCCTCGGGAGGGAAGAGCCCCCCTCAATCCCTGGTCACTGCCAGGGCCTCTCAAAGGCTGTTTGTGTGCAAAATGTTCTTGGTGTTTTTGGAGGGGGCTGGCAGAGCTGCTGCACCATCTGGGTCAGGGCAGGGACTGAATAACAAGCGCTGCCCTGACCCAGATGCCTTTGCCAGCTCTCGGGGGTGGAGGCAGCTCTAGAAAGAGGCCTCGCTTGTGCCTCCCGTGTGCCCTGGTGTGGGTCAGGACCCCCTGAACAGGCTGCTCCGGGGCTTGCAGCCTCCAGGGCCCACCAGAACACAGCCCCTTCGCAGAGCCGAGCAGGGAAGGGCTTTGCGGCTGTTTCCCGTGTTCTGCCTCAGCCATCAGAGAAACCTCATCCCTGACTATGTCCGTGCTTGATTTAGAGTGAGTTGTTCCCTGCTCTCTTTCCACAAGGTTTGCCATTCCTTCCCTTGCCCAGTGTGGTGGTGAAAGCCATCCCATCCTGGTCACAGAGGATTTTTCTCCTTAGGTTCATCCTGGTTAGCCCCCTCTCGCACAGGGACCCAAGGGAAGCAGGGGCATCCCTCCCTCCGTGAGAAACCACAGTGCTGCAGAGCTGTCAGAGCGTGCCGTGCGCATGCCCCCCATGTAAACACGTCACCCCCCGACCGCAGCACTGTGGGCAGGATCAGGCACCCGGTGTCCGGCAGAACTGCCTCCCCCGCCGCCTCCCTGGCTGCCTGTGGAGATGCCACTCGCGCTGCCAGCCCACATCTCACATGTGTCAGCCTTGGAGTCAGCTGAGGGGTGGGCGTAGGGTCTGCCTCTGTGGGGATGCGTCAGGCAGCTGCACAGCCTGCCAGCAGGTCCAGCCAGCATGGTTCAACCCTGCCCTGCCTGTTCCTCTGCTGTCCTGGGCCTTCTGCCTGGGCCAGGGACTGGTGGTGCTGCTGTCATGGCAAGGTCGAACGCTGCCACCAGCCCTGCCAGGCTTGTGCTCCTCCATGGAGCTGCTGTTGCCGTTTCCATGAGTTGTGGCTGTCCATTGAGGGTTTGTGGGATGCATCTGACTGTCCCCGCATCTGTGTTGCAGGTGTCGGCTCCTTCCTCCTGTATTCAGTCCATGAGGGGAAAAAGCATTCCTCTGGACCCCAACGACAAGTCAGATGCTCTCGTGCCTGTGTCAGGGACCTCCCTGGCTGTGGGGATCGACTTCCATGCAGGTGACATGGGGGCTGGGAGCAGGACAACAGGGCTGGAGAGGTCGGGGAGGGGGAGCACAAGAGGGACCATCGCCAGACCCTGCTTTGGCAGTGCTCTGCCCTAGGACATCTCCTCTCAGCAGCTCCGGGTGCGGGAGGGTTTCAGCTCCCCACGCCAGGGCCTTGGGGGGCATCTTAGCCCGCATCTGTGTCACCCTTGGGGTGACCCAGAGGCGGTCACTGACACCCGCTCTTCTGCCTGGTCCCTCTCAGAGAATGACACAATTTACTGGGTGGATATGGGTCTGAGCACCATTAGCCGGGCCAAGCGGGACCAGACGTGGCGGGAGGACGTGGTCACCAACGGCATTGGCCGTGTGGAGGGCATCGCCGTGGACTGGATCGCCGGTGAGATGGGGCTCTGGAGCAGGGAGGAGTGGGTGGGCAGTTCGAGAGCGGAGCTTGCGCAGGTGCTCACTGTCCTCTCTGCAGGAAACATCTACTGGACAGACCAGGGCTTCGATGTCATCGAGGTGGCCAGGCTGAACGGGTCCTTCCGCTACGTCGTCATCTCGCAGGGACTGGACAAGCCGCGGGCCATCACGGTCCATCCAGAGAAGGGGTGAGACACCGCACAAAGCTGCCCGGAGAGGGCCGTGAGCTCAGGAGTGGGCACATACCGGAGACCCTCAGCACCCTCCCCACAGAGCCATGCAGTTTGCACAGAGTGGAGAAGGACTCATAGGTCTGCTGCCACACCAAGGGACAGGCCCCTGGTGTCCAAACCAGCTGGGTTTAACCACCTTTCACTGATGGGCTGAGCTTCCTGGGGGTCCCCATGACTTCGTGGGTGCAAGCACCTCAAAAAATCCAAGTGGAGCCTCCCCAGACCAGCTCCAGCTTTGGACGGAATCACAGGGAGAGGAGAGTTGTTTGGGTCTGGGAAAGGAAAGAGAACAGCACCTTAAGTGCCTGGCACACAGGATCGTTTCTGGGCTGCATCCAGCTGCAATGCAGTGCTCCTTTCCCCAGTGCAGCATGGTCGGCAAGCACACAGTGACCAGGAGGCTGGCATATCACCAGGGGTCTGGACTGAGGCCCCGGTGTGGAGGGATGAGGGACAGAGGTGTTTGTCCTCTGCTCCGATAGCCAAAAGGCCCACGGATGCTGCTTCTGGCCAGTCCTGTGGTCATGTCCCTGCTGTCCCCTGCAGGTACCTGTTCTGGACGGAGTGGGGGCAGTACCCCCGCATCGAACGGTCACGCCTGGACGGGACCGAGCGGATGGTGCTGGTGAACGTCAGTATCAGTTGGCCCAATGGGATATCTGTCGACTACGAGGTACAGCTGCTGGCTGGGAGGACGGTGCTGCCCTGGGGCCTGGCGGGGAGTGTACCTGTCCCAAGGGTCCCTGCAGCTATGTCCCTGCTGGTGGGGCCTCTGGGGACACGACTTCCCTCCCCCAGGCCCTGGAGTCTCCTCTCCAGTGTGGGGAGGGATGTCCAAGGTGGTCATCTTCTGAACCCTGGGACCTTCTGCCAGACATGGTGGAGGGTGCGGAGGGTCCCTTAGTGCCGCCCAGGTGCGCTGCTCCATTGCTGACTGGGACGCTTTCTCATCGCCTCAGGACGGGAAGCTTTACTGGTGCGATGCCCGGACAGACAAGATTGAACGAATCGACCTGGAGACGGGCGAAAACCGAGAGGTCGTCCTGTCCAGCAACAACATGGACATGTTCTCGGTGTCGGTGTTCGAGGAGTACATCTACTGGAGCGATAGGTGCGGTGCCTGAGGGGTCCAGTGGTGCTGGGGGTGCTCCAGGCACCGGCTGTGTGGGAGGGTGGGGGCAGCTGGCGGGTGCTATGGGAAGGTGGATCTGGGTCCCACCGCAGGGTGCTGCTGGGGTGGGCCCCGCATCGGTTGCTCAGTTGCTCTGTCCTTTCTTAGGACTCATGCGAATGGCTCCATCAAAAGGGGCAACAAGGACAACGCCACCGAGTCAGTGTCCCTGCGGACAGGGATCGGCGTGCAGCTCAAGGACATCAAAGTCTTCAACCGGGCCAGGCAGAAGGGTGCGTCCAGGAGCGTGGTGTCAGCCCCTCGTGCGGTGCTGCCGAGCGCCACCGGCCGCCCAAGCTGGGCTCCCACGGCAGGCAGATGCAGGGAGGGGGATGGAAACAAACGGGCCACTGTGTCCTCTTCAAAGAACTGTGTCGCTCGCCGTGGGCTGAGCCCATTTCTTCACTCGCTTCCTGTGGGAGGGGGGAGAGGTGAAAAGCGGCCGAGCGGGAGCATCCTCCTACACAGAGCCTGCCCAGTCCCTTGAACAATCCCCCCTTTCCTCCCCAGGCACCAACATCTGTGCCCAGAGCAACGGGGGATGCCAGCAGCTCTGCCTGTTCCGGGGCGGTGGGCAGAGGACGTGTGCCTGCGCCCACGGCATGCTGTCCGAGGACGGGGTGAGCTGCCGGGACTACGACGGCTACCTGCTGTATTCGGAGCGCACCATCCTCAAGAGCATCCACCTGTCGGACGAGAACAACCTCAACGCGCCCATCAAGCCCTTCGAGGACGCAGAGCACATGAAGAACGTCATTGCTCTGGCCTTCGACTACCGCTACGGCTCCAAGGGCAGCAACCGTATATTCTACAGCGACATCCACTTCGGCAACATCCAACAGATCAACGACGACGGCACAGGGCGCAAGACCATCGTGGAGAGTGAGTGTCACAGGGCTCCTTCCATGCACCTCTGCCCTCAGACCCCCTCTTTCTGGTCTCTCCTGGCACCTCTTCCTAAACTGCCTCCTTCCTCGCCCAAGGGCTTTTTTTCCTTTTCTCCGTTAGCACTTTTTGGTGCTTTCGAGAGACATTTTGAGTGGCAGCTGTTAAGAGTTCAGCTCTGAGCTTTCTACCGGAGCCTCTGGAAGAGGCAGCAGCCTGTGGTAGAGGGCGCAAGTGTCAGGAGAGTCTGCAGAGCTTGTTCTGGCAAGGAGCGTGTATCACGAGGCTCAGACACGCATGTGGGTATGCATTGCTCTAGAAACAAGGCACTGCAGCAAACTTGGGATCTGCTCTGTGTTTGTATTTGGCTTCCGAGACAGACCTGTTGAGCCTGAGCAAACCTTGCCATGCCTGGCCCTGTCTTCACCTCCAGCCCTCGGTTTGCACTTGGTTGGTTTTACTGGCTCCTGCAGCAGTTGGAAAGATCCCGTCTGTTGCTCTGTGTCAGGAGGGAGCACCTCCAGCAGGGGTTATAGATGTGCTCGCTAATGAGTGTATTTACATGTGGCACTTGGGATAGCTGTTGTGGCTGAGATCGGGAGAGCAGGGCCCATCCCTCATAGCCGGTTCATTAAACCTTTTGCTGATCGTTAATGAGGGAGGAAGGATGGGTTTGAGTTCCTGGCCTGGGAGCTGGAGGGAAGGTCTCCCTGGTCAGCCACGAGTCTTCGTCTTGTCACTTTGTGCCTCTGGGCCTCAGCTCTTCCCTGGCAGAGGGAGACCCTTCCCTTTGCAGTGCTGCTGCTGCTGCAGGGGCACTGGCACCCCAAGCAAGCCTGGCCAGTGCAGGGGAGATGATCAGAGCACGAGCTTGAAAGCCAAGTTCAAGTCCTTGTTTCATCGTAGGTGAACACCACTCAGCCTTCCTGCAAGGAAGTGTTGGTATCTGGTTGGTAGCAGGGGTCTGCCCAGAGGCCCCTAAAGTCTTCTGGGTCTCGGCTCACCCATTAGCACAGACACCAGCCCAGCCCTGACAAGTCCCATCAGGTGCTGCCGCATGGGCACAGTATTAGCAAGTAGCCAGAGCCTCTGAGAGATTTTTTGGGGGTGTGATTAAAAGCAATAACATCAGGCTGATAAAGAAGACTTGTCCAAGTGTCATGGTCAGGACTGGCTGAATGCAGCCCTTGCCTGTCCTCCCCTCCTGCAGACGTGGGCTCAGTGGAGGGGCTGGCATACCACCGCGGCTGGGACACGCTGTACTGGACAAGCTACACCACCTCCACCATCACCCGCCACACCGTGGACCAGAGCCGCCTGGGGGCTTTCGAGAGGGAGACAGTGATCACCATGTCAGGGGACGATCACCCCCGGGCCTTCGTGCTGGACGAGTGCCAGAAGTGAGTGGCCATCGGTGGTCCAGCCAGCCCGCCTGGGGGGTCCACACGGTCCCAGGGCCAGTGTCCAGGTGGGAACACCCCTCCACTGGGGAGGAAGCACTGGTTCCCACCACAGAGAGTATTGGACCTCGGGGAGGAAAGCCCGTGTCCCCCCTCCCCACATGTCCTTCAGCACCCCAAAGCAAAGGCAGAAAACCCTGTCCCATCCCCTTCTCTGGCTGGCTGGTACCATGGGGTACCATGTTTCCTAGCTGGCTGCAGTGGCCTCATTCATCTCCCTCCCACCCGTTTTTGTGTGGGGACAGTGACCCATCCATCCCAAAGTCCCTGGAAGCCCCACAGCAGCAGAGGGGTGGGCTGAGCCAACACGCATGTGGCGGACAGCTGCAGTTGCAAAGACATCACGTGTCTCTCCCCTTCCAGCTTGATGTTCTGGACCAACTGGAACGAGCAGCACCCCAGCATCATGCGTGCCACCCTCTCTGGTGCCAACGTCCTCATCATCATTGATCAGGACATACGGACACCCAACGGGCTGGCCATCGACCACAAGGCCGAGAAGATCTACTTCTCTGATGCCACACTGGACAAAATCGAGCGCTGTGAATACGATGGCTCCCACCGCCATGTGAGTCCAGACCTGGCCCCAGCAGCAGAGATGGGGGAGGAGAGCGGCGAGTGTCGGAACTGGGGCTGGCGTATTGTCAGAGGACAGCAGAGCTGTTCCCGGGGCGCGGGGCGGGTCGGGCCTTCCCCTGGGGCAGACACATGGGGACAGGCTGCATTCGGGGTGGTGCCGGGGGCTACGTCCCACAGGCGGGTTCTCTCGTGCTCACGGTTTGCCAATGTCCGGCAGGTGATCCTGAAATCAGAGCCCGTGCACCCCTTTGGCCTGGCTGTCTACGGCGATTACATCTTCTGGACGGACTGGGTGCGCAGGGCTGTGCAACGAGCCAACAAGTACGTGGGCACTGACATGAAGCTCCTGCGTGTTGACATCCCCCAGCAGCCCATGGGCATCATTGCCGTGGCCAACGACACCGACAGCTGTAAGGATGCCCCGTGCCCCACCCGTCACCCGCAGCCTCACCACCACGGGCCCCTGCTCCCCTGCCTTGGCGAGACCTCTGCCCCCTCTCTCAGACGGCTCTGCCCCCTGCCAGACAGCGCTGCTCTTCCACCCCATCTGCAGGCCAGGGGAAGGGGGAACTCATCCCACCATCCTTCCTGGCCCGTTATTGCCCCTTCAGGACCCTCACACCAAGGCCTGTCCATCTCCAAACCCTGTGCAGGGTGAAAAGAGGGAGAATTTGCCCCATTTGTGCTCTGCCGAGGGTACCCTCCTTGCAAGATCTGGGGAGGCTGGAAGCCCCCAACCTGATGCATCCCCCATAGCCCCCTCTGAAGAGCCTGGGGAGGAACCCCTGCTTTTCCTTTCCCCAACAGGGAGGATGAGGGGAAGGGACTGCTGAGACTGTCCCTGGTGTGACTGCTCTTCGTCTCTCCTAGGTGAGCTGTCCCTGTGCAGGGTGAACAACGGCGGCTGCCAGGATCTCTGCCTGCTCACGCCCAAAGGACACGTCAACTGCTCCTGCCGTGGCGAGCGTGTCCTGCAGGAGGATTTCACCTGCAAAGGTTGGAGGGGCAGTGGAAGCGGGAGCTGATGGGGATGGGAAAGGGAGGAGGAGAGGCCGATCTCAGCCTGGCAGAGCTGATGTTCCCCGTGCCCTCCGCAGCCTTGAATTCCACCTGCAACATGCACGACGAGTTCGAGTGTGGGAACGGCGACTGCATTGACTTCAGCCGGACCTGCGACAGTGTGGTCCACTGCAAGGACAAGTCAGATGAGAAGCAGTCCTACTGCAGTAAGGTTCCTCCTCTTGCTGCTTTGCTCAAACACACCCACACTCCCCTCGGCACGCACAGGCGCCCTGCTAGAGGCAGGCCTACCCAGACCTTTTCCAGTTTTGGGGGTAGGCTGGAGAGTGGGACACCTTGAGCTGATCCAGTGGGGGCTGCAGCACCCTCCCTCTGACACCAACCCTAGCTCCTCAGCCGGGAGGGGTCTCTGCTGGGCAAAGGCCAATCTTAACCCTGTGGTGTTGCCAGCACAGCACGAGGGATCCTGTTTCCTAATCCTGCCTGTGTAGTTTCTTCCCCTGATGAAGGGTCCCTGAGGAGCTGATGCACCCGAGGGTGCTGGCCCTCCCTTTGCACTCACCTCCTCCTCCTCCTCCTCCCTCTCCTCCTCCCTCACAGGCAACCGCAAGTGCAAGAAGGGTTACCTGCACTGCATGAATGGGCGCTGCGTCGCCAGCCGCTACTGGTGCAATGGCGTGGATGACTGCGGGGACAACTCGGACGAAGTGCCGTGCAACAGTAAGCAGGCTGGCTGGCTCCCGGCCAGCCCTTGCCAGGGCTCGGTCAGCTGTCTGGGACAGGGACGGAGGCTTTGGGAA